CACGAACCCTGGGTTGGCGTAAAGGCTAACCCACAATTGCACGTTTCGAGACCACACGCGGACTGATACTACGGTACGCCAAATCCACGAAGCACAAACCATGCACACTCACTTGGATCTTTCTTCCGTCCCAGCGGAAGTGGTGGGCTCCTCGTCCACCACGTCCACCAACTGAGATGCTTGGCTGCTGCGCGTTGATTCGTCGGCTTCGGTGCTCGAACGCGCTGCTGACATCAAGCCAGCAACTGGCTGCTGCTGAGGCGATGCAGAGGCTGTCATGTTTGCGCCTGTTGCTGCTCCAGCTCCTTCTGCTGCTGTTAGATCAACAGCAGCAGCAGGAGCAAGAGTGCCGGCAGGAGGAGCCTCTCTCGTAGAAGAAGAGTGCGCGGGCCCAAAGAAGGAGGTGATCTGCTGTGGCGCCTGTGCTGCTACAGTCGAAGCAGTTGCCGAAGCAGCGGTCGAAGGAGCGGGGGTACTACCGGTAGTGCCGGCTACACTCTGCTCTGCCTGCATGTTCATGTTCTTTGGGGTCTGCATGCGGGGTGGTCCTCCGCACACAGCTGTGTGTGTGGTGTGATGATGCGCAAGGGCAGATGATGTCACCCCGGGTCATAAAAGAAGGAGGGGGCCCGCGAATGCATGCGGCGCAACTACAAATACCACCGGGGTTTCTTATATTGTGTACCCCCGGTGATAATTCGATTGTCTGTCAGAGACGCCCAAAATTACCACCGGGGTGTCGTATACTGTGGGGGGTTTCATATATTGTGTAGGTGTCTTATATTGTGTCATTTACGGTATACTATCTCGTTGGGAGGCTACGTACAACGTGCAAGATCATGTTGTCGGCCAAGACCTCTGACTGCATGACTTTGACCGTTGGGCCGCCACAACGAGCAGTGATTTTTCATGGCTATGCACGTACAAGGGGCTGCTGCAAAGGGACAGGTTCGGAGGTTGTCGGCGAGGACGAGACCTGTGGGTTCACGCAGTTTTGCTGCACACAATGGGGGCCATTCGGTATGCAGTTGGAATGGGTTGGCGCAGAGCTTACGCGAGAGGGGGGGGGAGCAATAAACGGTCACGTGGGGATGTCAACAAGTGGAACGTGCCGTGGAGAGGATGCTTGTATGAACAGTGTCGATGCACATGCCGAAGTTAAGGGGGGGAAGAACAGGGGTTTTGACGCTGGCTCTTTTCCCATACTTTAATCCAAAACAAAGAAAGCAAAACAACCTTCCCGCCAGGGTAAGGTTAGACATTCTATTGTCAGCAGTAGACGACATCACGAAGAGGCGTCGTGCGTGCTGGCACGTTCAGGTTGCTACTGGAGCTCAAATATCGAAGGTCGCAGCAGCCTCTGAAAACAGTCCGAGATCTGCGCCGGAACCAAGCGGCATCCAATATTTGTCACAGCCATGCTCACCGCCACGGACCTTAAACCCCTGAATGGGTGTCAGCAGTAGCTAGTGGCATCAGCTACTGCTGTAGTTCAGGGTATTGGGGTGGGTGGCGGCGAGCATGGCTGTGACAAATGTTGGATGCCGCTTGGTTCCGGCGCAGATTTCTGACTGTTTTCCAGAGGCTGCTGCGACCTTCGATATTTCAGCTCCAGTAGCAAACCTGAATGTGCCAGCATGCACGACGCCTCTTCATGATGTCCTCTACTGCTGACAATCGAATGCCAAACCTAACCCTCAAAACTGACCTTATTTGAGCGCCTTCCGTTTTGGCTCTGTTGACTTGAATTTAGAATCGAGTGAATTTTTATCTTGATTTCAAAGGAGGCCTGTGGAGGTAGACGCGGAAAATGTATGCTTTGAGCACCCTCTACTGCCGCCCTGTGCGAGAATCAACGATGTCTGTTTTTCGCGATGCCTCCCGACTGGTCTTGTGTGTCTGTTGTACAATTACTGAACCTCTTGCGTTCTTCTTGCCCCCCTTCAGTCCCCCTTCAGTGCAGTGCGGCAGTGAAAGGTCGACACGATGCAGCGTAGGAGCTTCGGAAGATGCGGGCTAATAAAGCACGTGGAGGAATATAAGAAGGTCAGCAAAAGGGATAGAAAAGGCACCGCTGCGTCTGCGCGTGTGCTCATGTGCAAATCGCACCGCACATTCACTTGTAAAGATGGCGCTGGTAGTGGAGACCTGCGGCTGCTGTCGTCGTTTGTTGCCGTGGACTAAATCGGACAAGCGGCGGACGAAAGGATGTATTTCAAACTGCAGCGGACGCGGCGCGCTTCAATGAGCTATGAACCAGGGCACCAATTTCAACAGCCCCAGTCCTTATCGGGCGAGACTTTGGTGTCATCTCCTTGTTGCGACTTTCATCAGTTCGCTCCTTTAGATGAGCTGCTACCCTTGGTAGGCAAAGTGCGGACAGCAGAGTCTTGTTCAGGCATTCAACTATGCACAACGGCGATCTGACAGGTGCAAATAGCAGCAGCTGGAAGAGGTGCAAAGCAGCCACAAAAAAAGAACGTGATCAACCCACGAGACAGCTAGGAGGATGCCCAGGACAATATGCACACAATAGCCTCGTCACCTAAGGACCCAGCGGTGGATCTATACTTTGTAAGAACGAATCATGCCCAGCCAGCTGAACTGCATCAGAACAAACCAACACCGTGTGCGCCAACAACGTATTTGATATGTACTTAAAAACTTCGACCACTCGTCCTCCCGCTTCACCTCATAGTACATCTCAGGATCCACGAGTACGACGCGTCCGCTCTCGTCCATCCTGAGGCACTCTTCCGCGTCCCCCCACCAGTTACCCGTGCCTTCCCGACATCGAGCGAGCAAACCTTCGGGCCCAAGCGGTGCCAGTTCAAACAGATACTCCACATGTTGCTGATGCTGCTGCTGCTGCTGCTGCTGTGTCGATGCAGCCGAAGAACGGGCAGCATGAAGAGGAGGAAACGCTACCGCCACTTCAGGTGATTCGCCACCAGGTTCACTCATCCCTGTAGATCTACCCTCCATCTGCACTGCTACTGTAGAGAGCACGCTGCTTTGCTTGGTTGTGTGCGGAGCAAAAGCAACGCTGGGCGTGACGCATACGTGAAATGTTCAGACTGTGGGGCCCCCGAGCCAACAGTCCCTGGCGGCTGCGCCACAGGAGCCCGCTCATTTCTCTGCTGCACCACGCTCAAGCACCCAGTACACTAAGCACCAATGATTTTTCTAGGATGGAGGTCCACTGAGATGCTGGCTGTTTCCCTCCTGGGACTGCTGACTTTCAATGCTCATCCGTCGACTGCAGCAGCAGCGGCACCAACTGCAACCGAGGTAAGCGCCTCCGGCCCTGATCATGTGTTCGCACCAAGCCTACTGCTGTACCGTGACTGCTTTCACGCTGTCCTCTCCCGTAGTGGTAGCGTCGGTAGACGCACCAGGCCGTAGGGATGTTTGAGTTTTTAAGGTGGTTTTGGTAATACCAGAGGTAGAAGAGAAGACCGCTGCTGTAGTAGACTACATGAAGACAACCTCGGTGCTCTCGCTGCTGCAACCGCTCTTTCACACTCCATGCCGACCCTCCCTCAAGTCGACTGCCCCAAATCAGCAGCAGCAGCTGCAGCGGCGGCCGAAGTGGTAATTGCGGACCCATGTAGAGGGTAAGGTTTGAGGTGGAGTGCATTGGTCCCTGTGCATACCAACTACTGTGTCACTGCTGTGGGTGTGGGTGTTGACTGTGTAGGTTGCGGCGGACACGTGGAGCACGGCGGTTATGGCACAGAAGGTGGTATCCTACAGCATTTGTCAATGGACCTACAGGAGGCACTGCTGCAAGATATATATTTCACTACCGTTAGTTGGGGAAACCCGGGCTTTTTCTTGGGTGCCAGCTGAACGGTCTGAGGGATTGTCCCTCTCACCTACCTAGTAATCGTAGGGTTATCGCCGGCGGCGGTGGGCGGTGATGTGAATGAACTCCATGTAGACTAAATTGAACATCGTTCAGTTCACGACAGTGGACAAATGCTGCACGGAAATCGATCGCTACCGCTCACACCCTCTCTGAGAGTGCGTCCGGTGTACCCGGCGATAGCCTTGTTGACTGAGCTGTACTGGCCCTGTTCCGCCCTTCACGCCTTATTGGTTTCCGTTCCGTGGTACTATGATTCAGCTCACGGTACGGGTCCGAATGTCCGACGGGTCGGTGAAGCGCGTGCAGGCCCAGGCACGGGACACCGTGGAGGACGTCTGCGAGCGGGTACGTTTTCGTGTATGGTAGCTCACCAGGGGGGAGGAGGGGGTTGTAATCACGTTTCGTATTCCGTAGTCGTTAGGACATGAACCTCGCATCCATACCAAGCCGGGACGGAGCACGCGTGGTGCTCACCGGACCAGGCTAAGGGGGGGGGGTGGTACTCAGAGAAATGCATGCGGTAGTTAGACCATTTACCTCGCATGCCCTTGCGCAGCAATATGCCTTCCGGGTCTCGAGCCGGCCCAACAGGCTTCACGAGGATGAACCAGAACGCGGTCATCACCGTTGCATTTCTGTACCAAACCAGCTGGGTTTTCAGAGTGGCGGGGCTTCGCCCAGGCCCATGTTCCATGAGGAGTACGTCGGGCATTCAATGTTGGTACTTCAACGCAGGTGGCCGTACGTAGAGACAGCGGCCCAGACAACAAACGTCATTGGGTGGCACCGTCGTTAGGCTTGTCGCGTGCGTAACCCCCGCACCCTCTCCTCGTACAAACCCAGTTGGGATGCGAGCCCGAGGCGGGCGTTGCGATCGAGGAAGACCCAGAGACGGCGGTGGAAGGTCAGTTCAACCTCGATGGATTTGTTAAACTTCGGAGAGGGGGGGCGTGTATCACGTGCTGCCCTATGCCGCCTCTGTCCCCTTTTGGTAGCGCGATTGCCTTTGTCAATCGCTGTCGGTGTGCATGTTTTATTCTGTCGTTGCCGTTGAGGTTGGTTGTACGCTTGTGTGGCATTCTTCTCACCCAGGAGTAGAAGGTCAGCGCAGCGATGGCTGCTACAATGGTCACACGGCTTGTAGTAGCCTCACTGGTTTTGAGGAGCTTGATGCCGTGCTTATTGCTAGATCCAACATGATAGAAAAGAAGGCTTGAGTCCTCGAGATCACAATCGGTCACATTCTAGACGTACCTTGGGTGCCCCAGTGTGCTTCCGTGTATCCACAACGACGAACACACGTCCTGCAACATCCCGTTTCCTTTGCTGCGGTTTGTTGAATATTCTTGTCGCCTTGGCGACACAGTCTCGTCCACGCTGAAGGAGCTGTCGGTGGGGCACGGTGGTTGGCTCTACATGCTCAGGTGTGCGGGAAAGACGAGTAAGATCCCACGTTTTCTCGTTTCGCCCGTTCGACCAATGATCGGCGGGGATGATGTCACTAGCTGCGCCCCCTTGCCCTCCGAGGGAGACGCACGGCAGTACCTGTCGCACCATCTGTATACCTATCGTACCATCGGTGTGCCTATTGTACCATCTGTGCGTCCCCGAACACCACCCACCACGTGTTGCCACGCTACCCCCCGGGAGCTGCCAACAGCCTGAATTGCACCCGGGAGCGTCGAGTACCCAAAGAGGAAAGCCAAGGCACACCCTGCTTCCTGAGACTCTTTTGTGGTTGACACCCTGGCGACGCAGGATTGTAACCCTCGCCACGGAACAGACAACATGACTCGTCGCGACCCATGTCGGTGGGATGGCAACGAGCGGTGTACGGGGTGTGCAGCTCCCGCCCCGGCATATATCTGTCTGGCCAGGGGAAATCTCCAATCCTGAAGCACCCAAGATGGCGGTGAACGTGTCCTTGAGGTGAAGTGTCTCGGTCAGGCCCTGCACTTCACTGTCGCCTCACCTACCCCCTCGTTCGTTGCCTTCTGCAGGGATCCGGACGACCCCGGGGCGGATACGGCGGCGGCCATCCGGAGGATGAAAGAGGCGAGGACGAGGGCGATCCAGGGGGGCGGGGTGAAGGAGGTCAAGACCCTCAAGGCCCTTCAACAAGAGCTCAAGGTGACCGACTCGCGATCCGCTTGTTCCGGCACGCACCCGTACCGCTTGACGGAGGCGGGCGTCATTTCACGGACTCGTGTCGGACGTGTCGGACGTGTCGAAAGCGAGCGAGAGAGGAGGAGGGGGTGGTGTGTTTTGCTGGTACATCCAACCAGCGACCACTGCTCTGCATGGCACATGGTTGTCACCGGGGGTTAGTATGCCTGACCGCCGTCGGCCCATGCCGGTATATCCGCCAGAATTTCAGACAGGCATGGCGGAACCCTCGGGTCCATTTCATTTGAGGCACTGCTGTAGGGTAAGTTAGCCTGTGACCATGGGAATCGACCGCGCCATGTGTTAGATCAGTACGCGGATATATGAAGGTGCGGGGTAGAGAGATCGGAACGGTTTCTAATGCGAAAACAACAGCAGTACCTTCGTTGGAAGCCCAGACAAGTTTGATAACCGTTTCGGCTGTGCGACAAGTGCGCATGTACAAGCGTCGAACCAAGCGAGTCATGTCTTTGTTGTGGGCCCCCTGCTTGGTTGAGGGCGCTGTCCCTCCTTGTCGTTTTTTGCGGGTTGTATACATTTTCCTAGAAGCCACAACTTTCGCTGCTGCTGCTAACGCCGTTGGTAGTTGGTGATTTATCACTGTTGTTTTGGTGGGAGATTTAGTGAATATGCTGTTGTTGTGGTTGATACTGCCGTCTGCAGGCGGCCAAGGGCATGCTGGTCGTCGTCGACTTCTACGCGGATTGGTGCGGCCCATGGTGAGAAGAAGCAATAATTGGACCTTGAGGTTTGCTTCTGGTCGCATTTTGCCCCCCACAAGCTCATGCTCCACGACCCTGAGCGGCACTCTCATCCCTCTTTTTTTGTTGAGACCATCGTGTCCTTGCAGACCAGCGAGGATTTATGTATGAGGCTCGGTGTACCCCTTCTTCTTTCCGCGCCTCCCTCCTTTTACTCCACAGCAAGCAAATCGCGCCCGTATATAAGGAGATGGCGAAGGAGTTCCCGAAGGCTGTCTTGCTCAAGGTTAACGTCGACACCAACAAGTGAGATAGCGTTCTTGGTCAATCGCTTACGATAGGGGGTGGGTCGGGGTCATGGCTTTCTCTTCCCCTCGCAGCAGCGCTTGAAGCCTATGACGGTGTCGATGTTAGTGTCGGTCTGGCTTGGTTGCCCCCCGCGTACCGGGCGAACCTACAGGAGCTATTGGGCACAGGCTGGGCGCGCAAAGGACCGGAGAGATGTTTCGAAGAGGCTCTCCATCGAACGGCAACGGGTTGGCTAACTCTCCCGGATTGGATTGTTTGGAAGACTTGAAATTGCTGCCGTGTGTGGCGGTTACTCATAGCTCGATCTTGCCCGACCGTTGATAAGACAAAGTGACCCAGGTATGTCAACTATGGTATTGTAGAAAGTACGTACCGGTTCCACGACAAAAGGTTGTAGCGGTCCTTCAGTGCGTACTCCAGAGTACCCCGGAGTTTTTTTGTTAGCGAGATTCGCAGTAATGCACGGCGAATGGGACTGTCTTTGGGGATGACTTAAACTTCACACCGGCCCTTGCTTCTTCGAATTTATGTTGTGTGTCGATTTTTTTTTTTTTCTCGTTCTTTTTCCAGGGAGACGGCGCAAAAGTACGCGGTCCAATCCATGCCGACTTTCGTCATGATAAAGAACGGGAAAAAGGTGGACGAACTCAAGGGCGCGGGGGAGGACGCGCTGCGACAAGCAATCTCCCGAAACGCGTGATCGGGAATGTGTCCAGGCTGTGGCTGAACCATGGGGGAAAAATACGCACCTGCTGCGTGTAGGGTTCCGGTTCTGGTTTGGATGAGAGGTTCTCCAAAACCTACATTTTTTTGTGTTGGGACAAGCGCTTGTGGTGGAGCAATCCGGCTTTGAGAATCTGTCTGTGTACGGGGAGGCATCTGTCCGCCCCTTACGGTACCACTTCACGTCTTCACCTCACGACGACGGATAAATCCTCGTAAAAATCATCAACCGCAGCAGAGTTGGCATTGACCAAAGGTGAGGTGTACAACCAAGAAACGATCAGGTTTCTCGGGTTGCCAATTTCCAACAACGTAATCGATTGAAATCCGTATGATGGTCGTGGACTAATGAAATACCAGTGGAGGGCGTGCACCAGAATCCTTCTATGTACAACTCAGTTCGTATCTGCAACTTCGCGTGATGTGTCACACGCAAGATTTCGTCCAGAATTGGTTTTGCCACGAGCATCAAAACGCTCGAAGCTTGCACTTCATACATCGGCACAAGTTTTGCTTTTGACGGGAATGGACGTGAAACCGGCCCCCGACGACTGCTTTTAGTGCCTACAGGAGGCTACTCTCGCTACGAATATCATCTACTGTACTTCGTGCAGATCGGGACAGCACAACACCTGACAGTCGAAACCTTCGCAGGCTCCAAGAGAGCGAAGATAACAGATCCTTGCCGTGAGAACAGTGCCTATTCTTAGTAAGGTTCTTACCAAGGTACCCGCAAAAAATGACCCGGACACAGACCACCCCCCCCACCCGGGGAGGGCAATTTCGATTTCGGTTTTGAATAGGAAATAGTATTGAACTAGGGGTACTTCGTTCACGAGAGCTAGTCATTTCCCTGTACTGCAGAGGGATTTCAATCCACGGTGCCCCGTACGCAATTATATAGAAACTAGATCCCCCCCCCCCCACCACCACATCACACACACACACAGCCGGACGGCGGCCGACTTCGATTAGTATTCGTAGATGTGTCTTCTTTTTTGTGTGCTCTTGTCCCTACTCTAAAATCTACCGTATACACTACACGTAGCCGTTAGGCTACCCTTCAAAGGAATCAAGAAACAAGCTCCGAGTAGGGGCGTGTCCTGAACCAGCGAAGCGGGCAAAAGCTAGTTTTGGGTGGCATGGTGGCGGCTGCTCAAACCTTCACGAACATAAGCACCTCATTTTTCGGCGGGCAACAGGACAGAACTCAGCGACAGCACGACGCATTCGAGCGGCCATACATTTGTTCGGATGAGTGTTCGGAGCAGTATTGATGCACGCACAACGATCGCTCATGCAGAACGATCAACGCCTGCGTTTGACAATAATGATGCGATCAGAAACCGCAGCATTTTTAAGTCTAGTTCTACGGGCAACTCCTCGAAAATGGAGGTTTCTATTTACGTCACCGGTGGCGTTATTTCTTATATACGTCACCGCCCGTATCTCAGCCCACAGAGATTCAATCGGCGCAAAATAAATTGCGTTGTGTAGCTATGACCCACACCAAGCATACAAGTCTTTCGACGGTCAAATCCGATAAGTGGTTACGGAGATTTGCTCAAAAGGGGGCTCAGCAGTATGATACTGCATCTACCACAAAAAAATCCGACTGTAATAACTTCGCGCAGAGAGCTCCGATCGACACCAATAGCTTAAGTGATGGCTGTGAATCGTGGAAACACAACGCGAGTTACATAGTTGGTGTCGATGAGAACTCTCTGCGAGGAGGCACGGTCGTTTTATTTATGGCAGATACATTATATCATACCGCTGAGCCCCCTGTTGAGCATGTCTCCGCAACCACTTATCGGATTTGACCGTCAAAAGGCTTGTATGATTGGTGTTGGTCATAGCTACACAACGCAATATATTTTGTGCCAATTGAAGCTTGTTTGCGGCCTACGCCACTTATTTATCGGGTGAGACTGTTTTGGTGATGTATTAACTTCACGAGAGGTCGACGACCGTCCTTCACACGGACGAAAGAGGGAGTGCTCAAAGAGCGGCTCCCACAGCAAGGAGGGGCCCCGTGAATCATCGCGGTGCTTGCACGCAATCCAGCATCG